CGCGCGCGTTACGCGCGCGCGCCGCGCGCATGTAACGCGCGCGCCTTATTTCGCGCGTAACGCGCGCGCGCGTAACGCGTTATAACGCGCGCGCGTAACGCGCGCGCGCGCGTAACCCGCGCGCGTAACGCGCGCGCGCGCGTTACAGTTTTTGCACCTTAGAAAGATGAAAAATTATAGCTTAATAATAGATTTATATGGATAATTTGCGATTTGAGGCTGTGGCGCCGTCAACGTAATCATCGTCCCATGCCGATATTTTAGGCGGAGGGCGGTGTCTCGCACGTAGCCGGGCACAGCGTTGAAACACCTGATAAATCTTGGTGTTCGTTCGGCGGCCGTCCCGGAGGTACGAAGGCGAATCATCGGGGGCGTGCAAAGAAGGAAGAAACAACAAACGCTCCGAGAAACGATAATAAGGAAACCATAATAATTGATGGTGCTCTTACTCAAAAAGAAGAGACGAAAAGACAGGACGAGTTAGAGTACCGATGTACTCAAGGAGAAGAGACCACTACAAGACAGGACGAGGTAATAAAACAGGAGGATGCCGTTCCTCATCCTCACGATGTTCCAGATTCAGGAGCCCTGGATGCAATCAACACAGAGACGAACAAAAATAATGTCCTTCAGGCGACTCTTTCCGATGTGCTTCGTAACCGCGATCGAGCTTTCGTTCTCCCATCTGACTCGACAGTCTTGTACATTAATCCATCGGCGTCGCAGACTGAAGATAGAGGCGCAGTAGTAGATCAGCATGCGCAGATAGCTAAACTTCCACCAGCAACGTCTATCTCTGCCGTTGCTGCTGATTCTGTTGCGGCAATGCTTGTCGGCACGCCTTGGGTTCGAGGTAACGAATTAGCTACTGCTACTTTCACTCCGGTGCTCGGAGGTGGCTGGGAGCGAGTTGTTGAGTCATCTGCTACACCACAAGCAACGAGCAGAGTCAGGAGCGAGCGGACATCACCTCGTCCAGACGAGAAGAAACTGGAGAATTCACTTCCTGATATTACAGAACCTCCAGTGCAAAAAAGTGAAAGAGCACAGAACCAGTTTGAGCAGGGCAGTCCTGATACAGAACCTCCAATGCAAGAAAGAGCACAAAACAAGGTAGAGGACAATAATCGAACACCGACAGTCGTTGCTGCTTCGTCTTCAGGACTTGTCAATAAAGCAAGGTCTGGTCATGGCGTACGACTAAGCAACCGAAACGTGCAAAACACTGCGAAGGATCGCGTGAGCGCCCATGACAAAAGCCCCTTGAGTCTGCGTGAACTGCAGCTACAGAGAGCGGGAACGAAAGCTATGCGAGAGATGCTGCGTCAGTTAAAAGCGGTAAATGCGGCTGATTCTTTTGGGAAAGCGCGTGCTACGGTGAAGCCGCGTGTTCGTCCTGGTGACCCTTCAGGATCTGTCCAACTAAAGCCCTCTGGAGCTAGTGGAGTACTCGCAAGCAAGCAAGACGCGCATCAAAATGCTGGGAAGCCCAGCGAAGACTTCGTTCGCGACCATGACAAAAGCGGCTTGACTGCGCGTGAAATGCTTCTGCAGATGACGGTAACGGAAACCATGACGGATTTATTGTGTCAAATGAAAGAGGCGCATGCTGCCGGATGCGGTAACGTGAATGTCAAACCGAAGCCAGATGATACTTGTAGTTTTCAAAAAGATGAAAGCTTAGAACGCGGGAGCGCGGGGGGGCGACTCGACCCATTGGGTGTCATTTTAGAAGGGCGGCGACAAGACGAACAGAGCGATCAGCGTACAAGTGGAAGCAACCACGAGAGAGCACCCTGTCCTTTATTTGATAGTAGCATCACTACGTCGTTGAACACACTGGTGGCGCTGCCATGGTCATCTCCGCAAGCACCAGATGAAAAAGGCCGTTTTCATGTAGAAGTTTGCACAATGGAAGCGCGTGCTAGTTGTACTGGAGCTCAGGTATCTGGGACTGGGACGGGGAGCGAGGATGAAGATGATCCGAAGCGAATTCCACTGCTGCAAGAACCGAGTACATCTGCATCGCAGTTCTGTAAAGCACCTCGCGGTGCCGCCTCAGCGGCCGATGATAAAGCAAAGTGGAACCAAAAACTAGGGACTTCTGCTTATGACGCAACACGGAGCCAGCAACGGCCGCTGCTGCTGCAGCGGCATGGGGCCACCAGTACTCGGTCTAGTATGAACAGACGACCCCAGTGTTCCCAAGGGATGAACAGCTCGGGAAATAGAGGAATCGCAAAAGAGTACAGCTGGTTTCATTATTGGGATGGCGGTTCTTCTGATGCAGAACAGTCGTACGCAGCTCAGGCATGGCAACCATGGAATGAGTTCAGTTATCAAATGTGGCAATCTCAACCGCAAGATGGAGCCTTCTCCTATCAGTGTTGTGCGACTGGACAAGGGATCTCAGGAGATCACTCTTATTTCACGCCCTTTCCCATGCCCTTCCATAATCATGAGCAAGTATGTGGTGGGCGTGGTGCAGGCGATTGGTGCTCCGGGTCTGAACAGGAATACGACGGATTTTCTCCTCAGTGCTGGCCAGGCCCGTCAGGTTGTGCGCGCATAGCGGAACCTTTTAGGGCAAGGTCGTCGCTTACGAGAAATAATAAATTTAACTCTACTCGTCAGTCTTATCTTCAACAGCCACCTGCTTCAGCATCGGCACAGCAGATTCAGATAGACATAGAGGGAGCTCAACAAGCACAAGACGTTGGCGAAAAGGGTAAACGAGGACCACGCCACGGCGAGCTCCCTTTAGAAGCAGAAAAGAGTGATATGAAAAATTACGTTACTCCTGCTGCTGCTGATGCTGCTGACGGAACGACAAAGCAGGACGTTGCCTCCAGCGAGGGCAAAGTGGAGCCGTCTGGTCAAAAGAACGAGACCATAGAGGCTCCCGGTAAGGTAGCCGACCATGCAACGGGTGCGACGGACCAGAAAGAAGACCATATCACAGCTGTCGCAGCCACCTTGCAGGCATTAACGTGTGCATTGCTACAGGCGGAGGGATTGGACGAAGGAGATTGGAAAGCGCACCACGAAGGCGCAGTGCAGGGGGTGCAAGCATCTTCGTCTTCCTCCTCGTCAACAAGGACGGGCGCACCTACGAGGTCGAATGGAGTGTTGAAAGAGGTGGAGAAAGTTTTTACACAACGTCATGAGGACGAAGAGGAATTGGTGAAAGAAGGTAACTACAGGAAAAATAAAACCTCTGAGGTAATCAGCGTCTTGCAACAACTAAACCGCGCCTTTCTGCAAGGACAAGCAACCAGCCGCGAATCAAAGCACCACAAGATCAAGGATCACGATTATGCTGAGCCACGACCTTCCTCACCGATGTTGATCCACGACGGTAATTCAGAATCTTTAGAAGACGAGCTTCTTCAGCACCAACAACTAGCGCGAGCAGCTGTTGAGAGCGAGGAAACGGATAAGGAAGGAGAAACGAGCATCGATGGGCTGGTCTTATCCTTGCAGAGGTTGAGCTCTGCTTTAGAAGTCTCTGGCACTCGTGTGGAGGAAGTGCAGAAAACAAGTGATAAAACAGTGGAGCTTATGGCGGCAAGTGCAAAGAGAACAAGCGCGGCGAGTGACCTGACAAAGAAAGAGGTTGGACGCAGCTGTGGAGGTGCATCTCAATTACAGCAACTCCTCGATTATCAAGAAGATGAGCTTGCAGCTCGTGGTGCTGGTGCTGGTGCAGGCAACATAGGTACTACTACCTCGACTACAAAGATGAATGTTAAGAATGACGCCGTGACGAATGCATCAACCTCAAGTAGGAGTCGAAGTAACCAAACAACCACAAGTACAAGTAGCGGCTACAGAAGTACAGCACCTGCAGCGATCTCTGCCATCATCTCATCATCTGCCGTATCGTCTTCAAGCGAAAGGCGGATGATCCCGAGTTATCCGCACCGTGTGGGAGGACGACCAGTCAAAGTGGCTCACGCCGGAGGAAGCCGCCATTCCCAGAATACTCATGCAGACTTCCTGCGTGCGAACGAAAAAATGGTCGCGCTAGAGTCCAGTCCGTCGCTGCCTAGCCGCGGATCTTTGCTTATGCTCGAAATGTATAAATATTATATCTATATATAAGCAAGCAGGTAGCTGAAAAGAGACCACGGCGCTGATGCACATTTTTCCTTTGTAAAGTAGCAGGCGTGTCTATGGCACTTGATTTCTTTACGAATATTTGTACGACCAGATAATAAATATAGCGAGCCCTTTTCTTTAGGTACTAGGCTTGCCTTTATTTTTCCTAAGGATTTGCATTTTTTCGTATCAAAGTTTGAGGTCTTGGTCTGACTCTGATGATCTTTTCTAAGGATTTGCATCAAAGTAATATTGGAGGGCGAAGGTGCGTGCCGTGTGCCTTTTTACCTACACGGGCTGGTTGTGCGCGAGGTAGGGATTGTGGCTACTGTCATTTGTGTCCGGCGTGGGTTTCGAAGAAGGATAGAGGGAAAAAAGCGAGCGCATTCAGCCAACATGGGAGCAACTACAGGGACACACTGGACAAGCCGCTGGACGCGCTTCGCATCGAGGCACGAGAGGCGCTGGATGCTCATTGGTATAAGGCCGCTCAGGCTCAAGGCCAAAGTTTTTATCCTTACGAAGAGTGCAACAGCTAGAAGTTTAAATTTTTCTGTCCCATCATCCTCTGTTAAAGTTAACATCACGTCGCAAGGAGGGAGCGCGTAGCGAAACAATTTCTTTCGGGAACACTGGAATTGGTGAGATTCCCTATGATACCAATGCCCAGGCCAGCTTCAGGGGGAAAGCAATATGCATGAATAATTAGAACCACGTCAACGAGCAAGTACATTTTCATTTTCTACAACATCTTCATCTAACTCACTGTTTGAATTTCGAAAACCAGACGAAGCAAAGACCCCACAGCGCACAAGCGGAACTTGTATCGCCAAGGGTGAACCATCTTCGCAAGAACTCGACTGTCGCATGAGGTTCGCTGTCATGTCAAAAGTGAAAGCGGAACAGGAAAAGCGCCGCCAACTGCAGGCTTCATCTAGCACGAAACTGGTTCTACAGGGAAAATCTTTTGACACAAAAAGAAAGAGTCTCTGAATCTGAAGAGGGACATGCTAAGAAGTCCTATGTCGTGACGGCGACAGGGATCCACTTGCGTCATAGATAGAAGCCACTTACGGTATACTGGTGTCACGAAGTACACGATTATATTGATAGATACATAGATACATGCACAAATTTTGAATTTTGATTTGTTGTTGAATTCGTGACTCTATGTAGTGCAAGATTTATATATTGTGCAACCTTTCTTATAGATCAGCTTTGCATGCCTTTTATCATGTACTAGTGCCGATGCATTTATGATAATGAATGTTCTTCTTCTTCTTAGCTTTTATTTTTCCCCAGGTTTGTTATCATTATCGCTCTGATGGGGTCGGTGCAGGGGAAAGTTTCTTGATTAGCGCACAACGCTATGTTGGAGATGTTCTAAAGACCCGTTTTGTTCTGGGTAGAAAATACAAAGAAATGCATAGTGATATGACCTCATTTTCTATCGCGACTCTCTCCAGATAGCCAGGAAGTTAAGCACTTATTTTGAAAATCAAAATTAGCACATGGGTCTTGTTACTGGTACTTCATGCTAGACGAAGACAAATTGAATCATCAGCAGTCCGATCTGATTTCACGATCAAATTACATACTTTCTTACATCTGTTCTCCTCGGTGTTTAACTTTACTTATGGGAGATGTTGTTAAGGTCAAAAATGCGGCGCAGACACGTCGACCAGCAGCAGAGGCTGTTCGTTGCCCGGGTGGGTTATTCGTAGCCGTATTTACGCAAACCCTATGTATACATATCTTTATCACTGTTGTTCATAAAATCTATCGGTAACACATTTGGTATTGAATTTTCTCGTTATAATGCACAGCCGCCTCCTCGGCACTTAGAGGTCGACGAGTCCGTTGATGCTGACCGTCTACTCGCTTGAATTAGCAATGTTGAACTATGAAATCGTTTCTAATCATTTCACTTAATTTTTCTTAATGATCTCGTCCTCGTCGACGTTCTCGTCTATCTCGCCGCCTATGCTGGGAAGGGAATAGACTGCTACAACCTCTGAGAGGGATAAAAACCGTAAAAATCAGTTGGACTGGTCATAGAAATGGAGAAAAATCGTTAGGCATTCTTTTACATTTGATTGACGAGAAATTCCGGTTGCCAAATGTGGATGTTTTTTCCCATTCGACATGATCGATCTACCTCTAGCTTCTACCAACAGAAAGTTGTTTTTCAAGAAACAGCTTACGTTTAGCTGAAGCGTTGTTGCGTCTTCTATCTTGTTTGTGTCTCGTGTCGTCCTGCGACTGTGTCTACTCCTGAAAGTAAAATATTTATATATGTTCCAGGGCTCAGGGCGGGAGGCCCCCCCCCCGATCTAACTTTTTGAAGGGGGGGGG